CAGTTTCGTCGAATAAACTCGTCTTGAATTTCTACTAATTCGTTTACTAATTCTTTTATCTACTATTGCTACCTGATCCCCATTATCTCTAATTTTTAATATATTTATCATCTACTCTTATCTGTTATATCTATTAATCTTACTCGGATGAAGATACGATAATTCTATATATAAACGTTGTCTTACTGAAGTATATTTTTAAAAAAGTAATACTTTTGTGAACAACTGTAGCTTCATCGTACTATCGATTTAATTTCCTCTTATCGCTTACTTTCCATTATATATTACATTAATTGAAATACAACAATTAATGAATATCCCAGATTAAGTATTGGTCGTAAATCAGTTAAAATTTTCACGACTAGTATAATCGTGAATTTACCTCGAAAGAGGAGCAGAGAACCCAGTAGAAGGTTCGGCCGGCGTCTGGCCGAATCGATACCTCGATATCGCCCCGAAAAGGGTCCGGCGAGGGAGAAAGGCTCACGCGTACGCACCCACCCTCGCGTGTGCACGCGTGCGTGTTGTACGCGCACGTGCAGCAGGAGGATACTCCGAGCGAGCGAGCGAGCGAGCGGTGTTCTTTCATTGACGTGCTCGCAGTTCGGAGCGAGACTCTGTACTGTTCTGCACGCTCGTGAGTCGTACCGGCACGACGACGTTTTGTTAGTTTTGACAGTGCGAGGAATTTTCTTTGCCCGGGGACTCGGTTGCATCCACTTCCGGTGAGTGTTACCAATTTATATGGTACATCATTTAACATTTATATTAGACAAATCTTCTGGACGAATTTCACACGCTCCAGATTTGTAGTCTTTCATTTATCATTTAATTGATTTTATCTCTGAAAGCATCTGCAAACTATTCGTCATTTGTTTTTCTACTACGCCGTGCAAACGGATTTATTGCTTCTAACAAGTTTTAAGCACCGTCCTTCGAACTCGTGATAACACAGAAATGTTTGTGAAAAATATTATGGGATATATTTGCTCTGTGCGAGACACCGGGCATCACGCGGATATTTGAATTGGTGACATCACACGAGACCGAGCTGCGCGTACGATTCCTGTCTCGATTAAATATGCATGCACCAGGTCACACCTGGAAAGCAAAACCGCTGTATATACTGTGTCAAGGTTCAACGGATCAATTGAAATTGTGCAACCTGACATGGGTTTCTATAAGTAAGCCAATCGGTGGTTAATTGACCTTGTACAAAGAACAATTTTCGAATAAGTAATAAGCATGAATGAAACGTAGGAGGGTTGCATCAATGCTCTTACGAATCGCAAATACAAATCTCTGTGTTTTATACTAATTAATTAACACTAGATTGCCTAAGGAAGTAATTTTGAAGTAATTGCTTTTGGGCAAATGTACAAATAATAATGCATAAATTATTTTTTTTCCCAAGTGAAGTAAATTTTTTTTATTGTTAACATTTACTAATAACTTGTTATATGACTGTA